CATTTTAGTTTAGAAAAGCCACGTTTCCTCTCGCAGTGTAACAAAACGTGGCTTTACTAAAAAATGTTTTTTGCCTTTGTAATGCCTTACATGGCTACAGACTTATTCTGGTTGGTAAAGTTTTTAAAAAAAATACGATGTTTTTTGCTTCTGTTATTCGTCGCTGTGAAAGTTGGCGTTGGGACTAATCTATAAGAGTATTCACACAAGAAGTAGACTCCAACTTTTTTTTTGAATTTGCCTGGTCAAAAAAAATTTTGAGATACCGGTAACAAGGAAAAATAAACTGCTAAAATGTTCCTAAAACAAGTGACCCTACAGCGAACTGTAAAGATCAAATTCGTTTCCAAGCGATCTTATGCATTTGCAGAAATATTCAGTAAACACCATTATAGAATATGAGGGAGTAAATCAACTAATAATGAATGCGTTTTTGGCGATAACATACTGTGATTAATGCAATCAGTAAACCGATTCGGAAAAATCAATACATGGAAGAAGAGCAAAGTAGGTATAAAATGGTTGTCTCAATAATTAACTATACGGGAAAAGACTAGGTTGTTGAAGAAGAACGTAGCGGGGTAAGATAGCTTGACAAAACCAGCTAGTTAAACGTTCAAAACAGCCGTTTCTCCAAATACTGAGGAGAAGGGAAATTAACTTGTCGTTATCACAGAGGAAAGTAACATCATAATTTGGTAGAAACTTGGTTGAAAGACAATTAGATAAGCGTAAACTTTCTGGTAGTTTAGAGTTGCCAACATAAGACTTCTTGAGGTCCAGCTATGTACACTGTTTGCAATACAAAGCAAAATTTTGTATATTTAAATATAACAGATGCTTAAAGTGCGTTAGCTGCAACTATACTTGACAGCAAAGTAGGAGATGGCTTCGGTCAGGACATTACAATTAATCTACAGTCCGGTAAAACTGCTTTGCTGAAGAGATAAAAGGCAAGTACTGTTACCGTCAACCGGAGTAACAGGTCACTTTAAACTGAAAAGTCTCTTATATTAAACTGTTGGGAAGTTATGCAATTTTTTTGTGTTCAAAGTGATCTCTGATTTTGTTCAAGAATTTAATGGGGCAAAGTAAAGTAATATTCGTGAACTTCATGAAATATTAGAAAGAGTGAAAAGAATAGAAAAAGAAAACATGTGCTTGACAAACAATAGCAAAAAATTATTGAAAACGATGACAAGACATAAGACATGTTCTATGGCATCGTTTCAACCCACCCAAGAAAGTGTGACTGCTGGCAGCCATTTGTCTTTACTTAATACAAAACTTCCAACTAAAAAAAACAGAATCAACAACAAAGATCAAGTATTTTTTAAGTCTGTAATATTCTTTCCACCGCTCTTGAATGTTGCATGATTAACTTTATTTAAGCAATCAGTGATCACTTCTCAAACTGCTAAAATCCGTATGCGGTCAGCAGTGTGACGCCATACTAAAAAAGCTATCTCCAGCAGACAATTAATTTCTTGACGTTACCTTTCTCAACTTTACTTTGAAAGAAAAAAGCTAAATTCCACCAGCAGCTTATCCGTTGGGAAACATTTCTTTAAACAAATTATTAAGACTTCGATCAAGTGAATACTGGAAAAAAAAATTATGCGATCGCATCACTGCCATCACCAATTATTATCATATTCATACGTACCAACTATAAACAATAATATATTACTATCACGCAGAAAAGAAGAAAATACCAATCATGACATACAGATCACTTATCATCAATAAAATAAGAAATAAATATTTATGAAAATAGAGCCGTTATTATTCGCGGTCCTCCAATTGTCATTATAAGTGATATACCCTAAAAATCCTGGTTTTTTCCACTTACGGAAAAAATTGATCTAAAGTCTACATATCAGAAATAAACTGATATGGAATTACCGATAAATCTTCAATATAAACATCAATCACAGCAGAAGTAACTGCAATTGAAGAACAGTAAATAGAAGAATTTAATAAATCTAAAAGTATATATTTCAACCCTGGTGCCACTCACTTCAGCAAAAGATCTAAACAGTTAAAAAAAATTTAAAAACTAGACCATTGATCAGTGCGATTATGCTAGGTGTGACACTCGCTTAATATACTAATTACTTAATCCCTACCCCGCTGGTATTCACGTTTTTTTTCAACACCACTAAATTTTTTCAAATACCAGATTTGTGCCAATGTAAACCTCATAAGATGCTCAGGTTTACGTGCTTCTTTTTCGGTCTCCAATTGCGCCCTTTCGCAATTCGTTCAAAAAAGCAAAAAAACTCAATTAACACAGATACCGTGATTTAGTCAAGATAAGTCTAGAGCTCTGTTAAAAGTAAACCAAAACCTTTGTTGAAGCCGATATGTAAGTACTGTTTTCCTGATGACTTTTTGGTGAAGTCAGACGGATAACTGTGATCAACAACGGTTTTTTTTCAGCCAAACAGCTTCAAAACTCTAATTGAACGTCCATGATTTCAGTAATAATGTTAACAAAAGATGTATAGGCAATGCGCATTTATCTAACACTAAGTTTATTTTTTTTCCGATTCATCTTCATAAATAACAAAATTTAGTAGTCAAGAAATTTTCAAGTAATTCATAAATCTGATATCCACATGCAATTTCTAACGTACAAACAGTCCCAAAAAAATTACATATCTGTTAACAGCAAGTAATTTTTACTGATTCATTACCGAAAAACTCATAGAAGAGCAAACAACGCACGGAGCCGCTCCAATACCAGGAGACGTAAACGGGTTTTATTTGAGAAACAGTAATTCCTGTAAAAAATAACCGTAGTTTAGCCCTACAATCAAAAGTATTTATCATCTGCTGACGAAGTGGAACTGAGAAAAAAAGATAAAAAAGTTGTGAAGCTCTCCCTAATTGAAAATCTTCTAAATGATTCGTCATCGTGAGTACCGAGCACGTGCTACTACATTAAACACATTTGACTGGTTTTAAAGGAAACTGTTAGAACATAATTATAGAGTTTTGAACTGATATACTATACCGCTTCCTAGGTTAAGTACATTTCACCATACACCATATTGAAGGTATTCTAAAATTCATACTTCTCCAGTGATCACTTTAATCATGAATTCCTTGTAGTCAAATTTTATTTATTAGCAATACTATTACCAATATTTGTTACTCGTCATATCCTCATAATCAATTTATGAATACTGTTTCTCAACAGTCTCTGACTGTAAAATAAGCTATGGCCAAAAACATTTTTACTGATACCTTCCAGCCACTTTCTTCCACTAAGAAAACGCTGCTTTAACCAAAAAGACAGACATTTCAAAGAGGAAGACATAGTAAAGCAATGGAGATGAAAGATGAACTATGTATATCCAGTTCGCTAATTTTAATTTCTATCATTCTTGATACGACTTATTAGGAACCATCCAACAGCAATCCCGCGATTTCACTGTATTTTCTTCAACTCCTTCTGTATTCGACAATAAGCCCCTGCAAAGCAGTGGCAAAGAACGACCCAGAAAGTAAACGCTTAGTAGCTGTAGCAGCGTGTTTTTGTCAAGAAGCATTTGCTAAAACAGTATCCTTAAAATGCGAACAATTTTTGCATCCTGCAACAATTCCTTCACTTTTACGGCTTTTATCAGAATCCGACTTTTCTCCTCAGCCATAAGTTATTCAGTAAGATGGTGTTCTTACTGCGAGAAAATGCTTTTAAATACGTATATTAGCTTTGCCATTTTCTCTTCAGTCTTTTCACAGCAAATGTTCATCTGGTTTCCCAAGGATACGCACAACTTCCCAACACACTCTTTTACAAACCAAAAAACACTTCTTTTCAACCGCTCTACTACTGGATTAGCTCGAATTTTTCCCAACTGCTATCTGTCATGGGCCTTTATCATCAACCTACTCGACTGGGAGACCTCCCTGTAAGCACCACCGATTCATGACCGTAAAATCCAATAACAGCAGTTCCTTCCTAGCTAATTAATTGCAAGCACTATTAGTGTGATGCTGATTATTATTAATTTCAATGTTAGCTGCAAAGGCGCGCATTAACAAAGGTCGCTAAAGGACAACAAAAGTTTTGTGCTTTAAACACGCATTAAAGCCTGAATTTCAAGCTGCTATAAGTAAGAAATGTCCCGAATTTCTGATACCCCACGCTCTCTGTAAAGTTGATACTGAGTGTATAACACAGAGCTGCCACGTTTGCACACTTAGCCCCGACAGGACACCAATGGGACTAACAAAGTTGTTCTCCTGAAAGTTCCATACTACCTCCCCGAAAAATTTTATTTCTTCATCGAAACACCCCTGCATGGCGCCGTGCCAAAGGACACCCAAATAAGTCTTGTTCCCGATTCCGGAAGTCAACAAAGACCTTCGACCAAACAGCAACACCTATCACCCCCATCAGTTTCTCAATCTCTCACATTAGGCAAAAACTGGAGCGCAGGCCCACTCTTAAACTCCCTCTACAATTGTTCCATCCTACTACCAAACTCTAGAGTACCTAAACGCCTATTCAACCGGAATTCCAGCTTTAAAACACAGTAGCTCCAATCCATCACCTACCTGACTGGGACAACATCTAGATGTCTTCACCCATTAACAAAGACTAGCAAGTTGACCTACTCCAAAAATTAAAACACAAAGCTCGGCAAACACTACTTCCCATTGGGCTCCACAAGCCAGGACCCTCTACTAAAAAAACCCAAATTGAAGGTCGTATTTCAACAAAAACTTTATGGCCTAAGTAACCCATAAAGTCAACTTCCAATTCAATCCCCCTCCTCCTACCAGCCGAACTTCACAAAGGATATAACGCTGTACAACTTACAAGGTTCTTAGCCGCTTCCGACAGAAAAGCAACGCGCCAGAAATTCCAAGATAATCATGAACACACTGCATTACACTCTAGATCCTTACTTTTACGACTGCCCGCAACACCAAACAACCAAACACTTTACTAGGCACAAAACAAGAAAAATACAACAAATAAATGTTTATGAAACCATAGCCGAAGCTGTTGAGGACTCGTACTTCCAAGTTGCGGGTAATTGGCGTGTTGTTTTGTAATATCGAGCCAAACGATGAATTCTCGATTCCACCAAAATTAGGCGGTATTTTGAGTCCTTATCCTAAAAACAGATGCAGTAATATCTTAATCCCATGATATCTGTTACACAACTCCCGTAAAAATGCTATACTCGCGTAATTAAAATGCTGTCTCCAGAACGCAGTTACCTCGGCCAGCACCACAAATTAAACGAACCTTAATGCTAACACAAAAAAATTTAATTACTCATCTTCACATTAACAGAAACAACTAACATTCTAAAACTTTGTGAAAAACCAAACCTTGGAGTACGAAAGCACTCTCTAAAATATTCTCGGAAAGCACCAGGCCCCCATGCCCGGTTGCCCCCTATCTTCTTCACTGACCTATTGCGGTTGGTACTTCATCATGTGTAAGGAGAATGGGGACATCCTCACATGACTACCAAAAGAACCTTGCACCGTAAGGTCAGTAACTTCATCACATAAGATTTCTGTGGAGTAAATGTAGCTTATTTCCAAACAGCCTACACCTTCAAAAACAAAATCCACGTCTATGTAGTACTCAAAAATAAGAGCGTAACCCTTACCAATAAGTCACCAATATTTACTCAAAAGAAGACATTGGCTCACTAATTATTAATAACAAGCACTATTGTAGCGACAAAAAACGAAGCCTAGCAAAATTAGTACGAACCGCAGTACATTCGTCAAAAAAAACTTAACACTTACCTTACGATTACGCTCCAAATGCTTCCTAATGCTCACTGCCTTTTTAATCAGATGGTATAAATCCTCAGGAATTTCAGGGGCCATACCCTAAAACGGTTGTGAAAACTTTTCAACAAGAGCGGCAACATGATATGCAGAACCCAGTAGTAAAAAAGAGCCGATGCGTAAAAGGCTATTATTTAATGACTTCAAACTCCCTGGTATTAGGCTTCCCTCAATATACCCTCCTCTAGTGTTTTAGTTCCTCTAAGCGGAAGTACACCGAAGGAAAGCGTGTAAACTAAAGCTAACAAAACAAATGAAAAAAGGATATAATTTAGCAAAATAAAAGGCTCATAAACGAAAAACAAACCTTGCTCTTCAGAATCCGAACGATCTTGTTGCCTGTAACACGACGAACCTGTGCAACACCGTGAGAGTCCCGAAGTATAACACCAATTTGTGAGGGTCGGAGACCCTTTAAAAAATTATAAGTGACAGCAAACCTCAAAAAATTGTAATAACAAAGTAGAAGTAATTATGGGTTTGTTATACGTTGGAGACATCCCTTTGCTAATCCCAAAAGAATGCACTATGACAGTATGATGCTTTTCCTCTCTCTTCTCAACCTCCTCTCAGATGAAGAGGTCAGAAATGAAGACAGAGGTTTAGAAAACGGCAAAGTTAACTATAGAAAGAACACCAGAAACCTTCTTCGCTAGTCGAACAATCTGCTCTATGACATCTTCACTGCTGAGCTTCAGCCATGTAGGAACTGACCGACGGTATGGTAACGCTGACTGCGAGATACCCTTCCCCGGATTGTGCATACGACCCATGATTGGACAATAAACTAGACGATAACTGTCTAACCCTGTGTGAACCTTCAAAACCTCCTTATAAAGCAAGAGTTTGGCAGAAGTGACTAAAACATATACGCCTCGTAAGACCTCAAAGAAAAAAGGGACGAAACAACCTAGAACCTAACATTCCTAATTTTCAAGAATTACTTCACTTTTTCATCGAAGAAAAGTTATATATAAAACTGTAACCGAAACATTCGCATAAACAAAGGAGGACTAAACTCTCAGAAAAAAAAAAAAAA